AGACATTTCCAAGGGCTGAGGCTAAGAAAAGGTTGGGAACCGTTAGCCAGTGCACTTCCCCCGTACCCCCCCCCCCTCATCATCTCCGCAAGTACCAAGTCAGCTGAGGAAGAGAAGCAATCACTCGTAAGTCTCCTTGACACTCTTAAAAGGACGTCCCATCTCTCGCCAACAATCCACACCCAGATCCCCCTTCCCCCACCCTTAACCAGCGCCTCCATCTGCCTAATACGGGTTCTTCTTCTCGCCACAGAGAGGTATCGAGGACGAAGCGGGCCCCTGGCAGTGACCCCGGACTCCCCTGGGCCCATTTTCAAAGCCTTCCTTAAAGGTGGACAGGAGCTTGGCTATTCCGTGGTCGATTACAATGGTCCTGAACAGATAGGTGAGTGAATCCGAAGGGAGTCGGTGAATGAATTGAGTTAATAGGCAACAAATATTTTGTTGTAGGTGAGTAAACTTACTTATTTTCGTTTCTCATTGTGGCTTGTTTCATTTTCGCTTGCATGAAATTGTTTCGATGCGTGGAACATTCGGACTTACCGGGAAATCACTTCAGGATGCAACATTTTCCGTAACTGTGACATCAATATTGCCCTACACATTGCACACGAGAGAATTTTGATCAAAATAAACTCTCAGATCTTGGGAAATTACTAACAAAGCCAATATAAATTCGGACTTTCAGGTTTTGCAGTCAACCAGTACACAGTCGGCAATGGCACGAGGGCATCTACAGCTGAGAGTTACCTGCGACCTGTCACCTCCAGACCTAATTTGCATATTCTCCACAGCGCCACCGTCCATAAAGTAAGTTTTTTTTTAGGAACGACGTCTGCTGAAGTTATTATGTCTCTGCTTGTGGCTCTGAGTTTATTGTTTTGATGTTTGGTTACGGTCATTTTCAGATTATTTTTGATGAAGACAACAGGGCCGTTGGCGTTCAGCTACAGCACAGGGGAAGGGTAAGTCTGTCTGTCTGTCTCTGTCTGTCTGTCTGTCTGTCTGTCTCTCTCTCTCTCTCTCTCTCTCTCTCTCTCTCTCTCTCTCTCTTAGCGTGCATGTGTGCTACTCTGTCCCTCATCATATCCTTCTACCTTTTTATCTGTTTGTCTATCTTCTGTCTTATCTCCCCTGCCTATCTGTCTCTTTGTCTGTCTGTCTACCTGCCTCTCTCTCTCTACCTTTCCTTCTCTCTTATGGCTGACACTGTGAAACCACACGAGACTAAACAAAAAGATGATGACATACTCACCTGCCAAAGAAAACCACCCAAGGAAACCTCAACCGCATGTTGTCGTTTTCAGATGCTCACAATAGGCACGCGTCGAGAAGTGATCGTGTCCTCAGGTGCCATAGGATCGCCCAAATTACTTCTGCTCTCCGGTGTAGGCCCCAGAGCTCATCTTCAGCAACATCGGGTGGGAATTTGCGCTGTTGAAGTTTTGTGAATGACTTCTGAGCGCAAGGTTAAATGAAAGGGATTCGCGTTCGTTAACCGAATCGAATGGTTTTGTGAATCGATATAGACAAGACGCTCAGCATACAGTTTACATGGATTCCTGAATTGTAAGGAGAGACTCAGGTATATTATTCTACGGAGAACAAGCCCATAACAATCTGTCTTGAAGTTCAGTTTCGTTTCCTCAGATAAACGTTGTGGCGGACGTGCCCGGCGTCGGCCAGAACTTCCACGACCACATAAACGTTTACGGTCTCACGTGGACGGTGCCCTTCGGAGTCAGTCCTCAGAACCTGGGTCTCCTCGCGGGCGTCGACGTCTTTTCGCCGTCGTCTCTACAGGAATTCATTAGGTCCAGGAAAGGTGAGCTTACCACACGAAGGAAACCTGATGACCTTCGCAAATTAAAAGAGAAGGTGCTAGTTATGATTGAATTATTTTTTTTTGCAACGTGTTCAAAAAGTATATTCAATAGTGTATATACAAAAAAAAAAAACATACTTTACGGAAAAATCCAGTATTCGACTTGTAAATATGACAAAGCATGAAAGCATCTTGAACAAAAAAGCAATTTTTTCCGTAAATCCAGGATTCGACTTGAAATATAACAAAGCATGAAAGCATCTTGAACAAAAAAGCAATTTTTTTCCCGTAAATCCAGGATTCGACTTGAAAATATTGAAAGCATCTTGAACAAAAAAGCAATTTTTTCCGTAAATCCAGGATTCGACTTGATAAATAAGAACTTGGAACAAAAAAGCAATTTTTTTCCCGTAAATCCAGGATTCGACTTGAAAATATGACAAAGCATGAAAGCATCTTGGACATAAGTGTTTTTTTCCCCCCAGGTCCACTAACAAAATTGCTTTTTCTCCCCAGGTCCACTAACTCGGGTGTCGGCTGAAGTCGTCAACGCCTGGGTGAAGGTATCCCCAGGAGGCGACCCCCTCTGGACCGACACCCAGGTTTTCTTCAATGGATTCACAGCAGGAGCGGACTTGGGTTTCTTCTACCCTTCGCTCTGGGGCATGGACCGAACTGTATGTATTTATTTTTTTCAATTTCTCTTATTATGAGTTGGATGATGATGCAATCAGGAAACAAAAATTGTGGATATTTATATATAAACAGTCGAGTTTTTTTTAAATACTTCTCTTTGACGTAATATATCTTACATTGCCGTACATTACAAATGAGTATTATAGTTTACGTATGCAAAAAGGACACTTCAACTTACACATCACTTGACAGCAGTTTTACGAGTAATTGCAAACCACGCCCACATGAAAGCATGGTTAGTTCATGCCAAAGACATAAGAAAGAAAATTCAAAATTGTACATTCACCTTGTCTTAGGTCTATTAACCTCACGTATTTAACTTTTCAGTTCTTTAAGGAACACTACAAAGACATCTTAGGTCAGGAAGGTTTCTCCATCAGACCAGTGCTTGTGAGACCTAAGAGTCGAGGGTCAGTAACTCTTCTGTCAAGTGACCCAAGACGACCTCCAGCCATTGACCCAAACTACCTGAGTCACCCCGATGATGTAGCCACACTCGTTAATGGTAACCAGCCTCTCTTCTATGTAATTTCCTTTGTATTCTTATAACTGCAATACGTTTCCGATGTATTTTTTTCTGGAATGAAATTGAAATACGTTTTTGCCTGTTTTCCGTTTTAGGTATAAAATTTTCGTTAGCGCTGGGCAACACAACTGATTTCGCCAGAACCTACAGAGCAAGGTTCTTTAACAAGGTAACTCATAATACGTATAATGTAACAGCAGTAATATGATACGATTATTTAAGCTCTAAATATAACCCATAGCAAAACCCGTATGTATCAACCAACGGAAGCAGCATTATAATTACACTTTTTTTCATAAGATTTCCTTACCCAACAGCCTTTACGTGGGTGTGAAAACCTACCCTACGGGAGTGACCAATACTGGGCGTGTTATATACGTCACATGGCTTCTTCCTTTCTACACTTTGCTGGCTCCTGTAAGATGGCACCGACCTCAGATCCTTTGGGTGTTGTGGATAACAGGCTAAGGTAATGGAAAAATTATATCATCTGTAGAAGGGTTGCAGAAATAGATTGTTGTTGTTGTGTTGTGGTTTTACGTATGTGTGCATGCAGATTTGTATGTATGTCTTTCTGGATATACATATGAATAGAAAAACACTTATACTTGTAGTTTTTTGTTAATAGATTTCTATTCATGTGTGCAATTGAAGTTAGTGAATAATGGATGTAGGATATACAAGGAGATGAAGGAGTTAAGCACATATCATAGACTAAATTAATGCTTCAGTCCTGTATTCTGAAGTCTGCATCACCATCAATACTGCTATATTACCAAACCTATTTTATTCTACCTCAATAGTAACTCTCGTACCTTTCTTCATGAATTTACCTCTGGCGGGATTCCTTGGAATAAAATGAAGTACACAGCCCTTTTCCACAAACTTACTTCTAAGAGAGTTCCTTAGAGGAAAAGGAAGTGCATAGCCCTATTTCAAGAAGTTCTTTTACCACTTGCAGGGTTCGTGGAGTAAAAGGACTGCGTGTTGTGGATGCTTCTGTCATGCCCTCTGTTACCACTGGGAATACCAACGCACCTGTTATTATGATTGCAGAAAAGGCTTCTGATATTGTTAAACAGGATTGGGATCAGCCAGTGTAGACTGATCTGTGATATATATTATAATACTTGAAATTTGTTAGAGGATTATGTTGTATATTTTCCATTGTATGGTCACACTGTATGCTGGAAATACAGATCATCAATATCCGACATTTATTTTACATTACCTTTATAACGAATAACAAATTAAGAATCTCCAGATACTGTCACTCTTGTGACCCCAAAATATAGGACGTAAGTATTACTGATTTCATTGAGAAGATATCCAAGAATGAAACTTTGAAGTTGAAATAACAGTTGTTTTTACCAGACAAATGCTCTAACATTACCAGTTTCCAGTCAAAGGAAACACAAATATATCATGTGATTTAACACAGCATGATTTTTCATATAAAACAGTAAAAAACACAGTCTTCAGGAAATATTGCTTCACCAGTGGATTACATGTTTACTGTGACCTTTATTTCTTATAAATATGAATACTTTGGCAATAAAGTGAAAAATGGTTATTAAAAGTATATCTAAATCGGTATAATTCACTAAAATCATTATTCTTGTTAAGGGCCATCCTTGTGAAAATTACTCAGTCGTATAAGGTAGAATGAAAGCTCCAGAGACTATATGAATTCCCTATTAATCACTATTCATTGTTATACAAAAATTATGAACAATTTACCATTTCAAATGAGTTATCTAAAAGCTTTGTTCTATTTACTGAAACATATTTATTTGGCTGGCAAGTTGCTTATATTATCTCCTTTTTTGCACTTTAAAATGTCAAAGGGATTGATTTTTTCTTTGAATAGTTGTCAGTCCTTTTCTTATTTTCATATATGTGCTATGACTGCCACATACATTTATTCCTTACATACATACAAAATCTGTCTAAATTATTCATTTCTTTAAACTTTATAATGCTTAATTGCTACAGTATTAGGTAACCGTCTTCGGGTCAAATAAAAAGAGGACAGTTTGAAGAAAATTTATTATTATATACTATTTCGTAATGGAAATCCTGTGTCGACAAGGCATTGCATGTGCTAGACAGATATAATGGTCTCTGCTCATCTTTAACAATCATAGCAAAACATAAACCATTTCCAAATGCTTGTATACCTTTCGTGAATTAAATGTATTAGTGATTTTTAATATATTTATCACAAGACACCTACTCTTTAACATATATGGATAGCAGGATAATGATCATTTCATATAGTGTAACATCATTTCATACTCCCTATGGAAAAAGTAAACATCACTAAAACCTGTAAATGTGCTAAATGAAAATTACACACATTTGTATGTTGTGTTATTTGAATCAAGCAACCCTAAAGAAAGTGAGTATGTGAAACCTCTCATGCAATACTATAAAATTACTTGGAATGGTGCTTCAACTGTGTACTCTGAATAAAAAAGAATAAAAACGCCTGCACACTGGGAATACCACTCGTCCATCAATGTGAAGTCCCACTGTAGATTAAGTAACTTGAAAATGAGATACCGAGCAAACACTGACAACCTGAATTCAACAGATGACTTCTACTTTAAAGCTTCCGTAAAGGTATATGCATGTGTGTGTTGCGTATATATATATATATATATATATATATATATATATATATATATATATATATATATATATATATATATATAATATATATATATGTGTGTGTGTCTTTTGTACAGGTGTGTCTGTTCTGTTGTGTTTTGGTGTTTGGTGTGTGTGTGTGTGTGTGTGTGTGTGTGTGTGTGTGTGTGTGTGTGTGTGTGTGTGTGTGTGTGTGTGTGTGTGTGTGTGTGTGTGTGTGTGTGTGTGTGTTTAAATCTGATATGTTGTCCTATAATCATTGTACAAAATGAAAGAGTTTTACATCTATCCTGAATTATCATGCCAACATCAAACAAAAAATAAAAAAGATTTTAGCAGTACACTGAACAATCTTTTACAACCATTACTAAGCATCCTTTCTCTTCAGGAAAGACAAGAAATGAGAAAAAAAGATGCTTAAGAGGTGTTTGAGTGCACAAAAAAAAATTACAATACTATAAATAACCGAGACACTAACATGATTTAGGAAAATACATTGTAATTGTTAATGCCGATACAGGAATGATGTACAAGGTAATTTACCAACTATTCACACAGCCTGGCGATAAAGTATCAATAAATAATCACTGAGGCACAAGTAGCTCTACAACATGTACGATGTTTGACCATGCTGGTGTGAGGCTTTGGCTCAGAACGTGAAGAACTGGGAGAAAAGAGACAACCCTAACGTGAAGCGACCGCCTCCTACTCCTCGCTTGGTTTCTCTGCAGCTTCTCCTTCTCCCTTAGCGTCTTCGGCTTCCTCTGGTTTACTCTCGAAGTTATCACCTTCTTTGGGCTCTGCTCCAGCATTATCAAAGACAATCTCCTCTGGGTCTGGGGCACGAGGCAAGAATTCTTCCTCCGGGAACATTTGGGAGAACACTGACTGTGCCTGTGCATAAGAATGGCATTGTTAAATACTTACAGTAGGAAAAACAAAGGCTGCATTTTTGTACGTTTGTAGACTGAATACAAGTGTAGAGTGATTGTGGAAAGTGATTCAATCTAAATCCATAATCATTCACTGCTGTTTGAAAATAAGTGAAAGGAAAAAAAGAAAGAAAAAAGCATAATAATAATAACTAGGCAAAATACTCAATTTATCCCCAAGGGTCTTGAGAATACTAAAAGCCAAGTAAATACAAGAAACTTATCAACAAAAACCTAAGCCTGAATGAATGTATTACAAATAAAAGATACATACCTGAGAAATAGCAGAATCGTAATCTAGCTGCGAGTCAGGTCCTGAGCAAAGATGTAGGTTGGAGGTGCCACATGAAGAGAGGTCGACACCTGAGAAGTCCTCCTGTTATGGATATAAATAATAATGAGAGTAAGTTGTTGTAATGAGAAGATATTTATGAGAAGTGCTTTTACCTAATATGAACAAAAACGAACTATGACATAGAGCAATATTCAATTTTGTACAGATCTTGGTGAATTTGTGTGATCAATAGGATTAAAGATAACTTGCATTCTTATGTAGCTAATATAAGTTAAATGGTTTATTAAATGAATCACAAACACATGACATTTAAAAACCCAGGTACCACCTAAAGGTTGCACTGCACGTATTAATGTCACATGAGAAAGGTGAGATGGATAGCAATGAACATGCATTTTTCACGGACAAGTAAGATGCAATGTCATTTACTTTGCTCTACCTAAAAATAACTTTGCTCTACCTTTACTACCTAATAATGGCCTAGATATAACAATAACAGTATTAATAAACAGAATCTATAAATAAAAATAAACATGAAACAGTTATATTAAACCCCTTCGAGGGACTGACGATTTATAACAACTTGAACACTACCATGAACAAACTTACCTGATTGAAGTATAAAGACCACAAAATCTTTGGTTTGTCTGAGTCCTCATCTGTAGCAAACAGTTTCTCTACTGATGATTTGAAATCCTCCTCAGCATCATATCCAAGGCATGTCATGTGAATGCAATCTGCAAACAAAAGATAATATCAAACCAAAACCTTTATGAAGCCTGTATATAAAAAAAAGTCAAAGATCTTAGTTGTCCTTTCAGAAAACAACTTTATTGCATCTACATACTAATTACACATCTTTCCAAGACTGCTATAAAAACAGTTATCATTCATAGCAGAATAGAATTGATTCTTTTTGTTACACTGGTCTACTAAGGTACTAACACAGATCTTTAGGGCACACTCCAGATCCACTCCCAATCTCCAGGACATTGATAGGCTTAGTGTTGCCGTTCTTGGCCGGGAAGCGCAGGAAAGTCAGCTGCTCCTTGTCATTTGGCATGATTGACCTGACAAAAACCCAAAACCAATCAGAGGCAAATCATATTTTTTTCTTAATAATTATTATCATTCAGATTTTTCTATTCTGTAACACTGCCAAAGACTGAAAGCCTTGAGCAAAGTTAAGGTCTTACCTGTCTGTGATGAAGATTGCTCTTGATATACACTGCTTTGTTGATACATTCTTGGCTGGAGCATAATTCTGGGGCGCATAATCAACATCCATTACCAAGTTAGAACACCTAAAACGCTGTCCTTCAGATATTAGCCCCGCGCACTTGCCTTCTGCATTAAATACAATGGATGAGACTCCCCTCCTAAGTACATACGTGCCTTCGAACACTGCGCAAAGTCTGAAATCCAGAAAAATAAGATAAGATATCCATGTATTTCATATTTTCTTCATTATGATATTTCTAGATCATATGTAATTTTTTTTTTTTCATGAACAATCACGTACTATACACCTAAAAGATATGAAAAACAACATCCAAGACAACTACACATCTTCATACTAACCTGCAGAAAGCCTGAGGAAGTTCCCCACAGCCATACATGGAAAAGAGGAAGGGAGTCGTTCCATATCTTCCTAAACTGGAGAGGAAGAGCTTCATCTTCTCCAGCCCCTCACGGCAAGTCGAGTCCTTGGGCACCATGGCAATAGATTCCGTTACATAGTGAATAAGGTTGTCAGTCAGCTGGCGAGACTTTAAGAAGTCTATGAAAGGCTTGTCGTTATACTCTGGAAGAACATTACATTTCATTTTAGTGGTATGAAATCAAGGTGAGACCCAGATATAAACCCTATATAACTAATATCATGCTGAAAATACATTATGAGGCACAAATTATAAGAGAGAGAGAGAGAGAAGACTTTTGATCCTCCAAGCTCACAGAAGAAAGAAATTTAATCAATACTTTTTAAACAAACACTGAACTAAACTAAACAAATCTTAACCCAAAGACTGGATTTATGTACTGTCCTCTGTAATTTTTTGTGAATTTTGTTACATACAGATGACTCCACATGTGCTCAGCCACCAAGGAGTCTATCAGTAGGCTCTAGTGACCACACCTGATTTCCCCATTTCTTGAAATAGCGAAAAAATGTATTTTTCTTTCTAATGCTATTAATATCATTAGTGTTCTCATTCTTATTGATGTTAAGATTATCAAATTGTTAATAGATTAATATTAACATTAAAGACAATAAAACAATACAAAAGAAGTTTTCCAAAAATCAAGGAAAAGGGTAAACAGCTAAGAAAGGTAGACTAATAACTGACTCCATGGTGACTAAGCACTGGTAGAGGCACCCGTGTGTAAAGACAATAAATGAACTTATATCACTGTAGGCATGGCATGTCTTCTTGCCATCCGGGATGAATGGTTAAGGGCTTATACAAAATTTCAATCCAAACGATCTGACATGACAAAGGTCAATACCTGAATAAAGTGCAGTAGCATGAAAGCAACAGAAAAAGGTGCCAACCTACCTTCAAACTGTTCGGGATGCTGATCATAGCTCTGACATGACTCCAAAACCTTCATGAGCAGACGTTTTTCTACCAGGGAAATGCTGCTGGCTGTGAAGACATCGCTTCTCGAGCAGGGGACCATGACCAAACTCTCCTCGTCCGAAGAGGAGCCATGCCATGTCAGAATTCGAGTGATGCACTTGAACTCTGCATATCTGTGTGCACCAGAGAGAATTTTCTTTCTTTGCTAATCAACTATGAATTATTTGGAATCATCATCATAAAAGGAAAGTACACACACACACACATGTATAAACAATTTTAGAAGTAATAACTACAGTCAACAAAGTGTTTTTTCATTTATGAGTTTCTGGACTAACCTTGCAACATTTGATGAAATTAAAAGTTCCACAAGAGCACCACGTGAATACAACAGCTGTGGAGGAAAATTAGATTATAAAATACTGAAGATACCAGAGAAGAGAAAGATATTAAAAACAGAAATGCAGATGAATCAAATGTACAAGACCTACAAGGAGAGAAACATTTTAAGATAATTAAATTAAGATCTATTTACTCTGGAGAGCTTCTTATTTCTTAGTCTGTACATAAAACCCACCTTTGGGGTTAGATCTAAGTTGAATTTTCTCGTCAGTTTCATCATAGCCTCTTGAGACCACTTCTTTCTCTCCTTCTGTGTCTCTGCACCAGTCTCAGGCTTGGAGCCCCCCTCGGTTTCACTTGGTTCCTCAGCTGGTTTCGCCTCCTCAGCCTTCTCGGCAGTTGCTTCTGCTGCGGGTTCCACAGGTTCTGCACTGGATGGCACCTCCTCATTCTTCCTGTAAGATTTGCAAATATGTATCACATTTAAAATCTGCCAATAATAACTAGGGAAAAATCTGTTGTTTTTCATGTTTGTGACAGCATAAAAATGATTCAGTATCAGTAAAACTTTTGTTATTCTGAGGAGTTTGCTGCTGAAATATATATCTATATCTGTACACATATCTACTGATATATATATACATATTTACTTACGGAACATGCCATTCCTGTTTGATTTTAGAGTATCCCCGATTGGGGTCACATGTAGGTACAGCCTTTTCCCCATCATCTAACTCGCACTTCTCTGTAAATAGAACAAAACTGCTGGATTATTTCAAGCATTATCATAACGCTTTCCAGAATTTAACAAAAGGAAAATGAAATATTTGGTCTCAGAAAATTAGGCATATCTCATTCAAGTAATCAATGTCTGAATAGTATTCATTGCAACAAATGTGGAAAGAAATATGAATGAGAACAAGTGTCTTCAGTGCATGAATATATTTGATCAGTTTCCTCTATAACAGCTGTCAAAATTCATGTACTTCTGATGACAATATAATCAAAATGTTGTGAAAACATGAATTTCCATTTATACCATTCTCTCGATATATTAATTCAAGGCATCTTTACCTCTAATCACTTCCCAATTGGAAAGTAAGAAAGAAAGAAAGAAAGAAAAAAAGAAAGAAAAATAAATAAATAAAAAATGAAAGAAAGGGGAAACATTGTCAAAAAGATTAAGAAACGTCACTCCTTACCTGCTTTGTTATCCTTTACAGCCCCCTTCTCCACACTCCCAGTCCATTGATCAATCCCTTGTAGTGTGAAGGAAGACCATTTTCCTCCATAATAGTCATTTCTGTCAAGTAAATAAAATATAATCAATAATCTCTATCTTTTAATCATGATGAAGAAACAAATATCCAAAGCAATACTCTCTGCAATTGTAAAATATTTCACATGCTGATAAAACAAATAACTAAAATAAAATAAAGCCAGATACTTCAAAGGTAAATAAATTAGTTTTACTTAATTTCCAGGAAATACCAGAACCTACAAAGTACTCGAGATCCATTATTACAGACCATACAGTTAAGAATGACACTTACTGATCAATATGTAGGACCTTCTTCCCAATCCTAGCTGAAGCTGCTGCAACAATGCATTCTATCAACCCTGCAAGTGGAGGACTAATATTAAATTCAGAAACACAAAACTTTGACAAAAACAACAACTCATGAATGTTAAAGAAGAGAAGGTGAGAGCACCAGTTCCATGGAAGACACTATCTCTATGCTAAAGATCCTTTACCCACCGTGACCAGCGTCGCAGATAAATAAATAAATAAAAAGAGATACACATAATAAAATGTTATTTATTGTTACTGTTACTGTACAGAATCATAGACGATCTAGAGAGAGGTTATGGAGTCTGTGCAAGGAAAACAGTCTATTACCATTTTCATACAGCATATCAAATGACAAATATAGACCATGGAAAATAGAAAAAAAGTAAAAATCACTATTGTAGAAAAAGACTATAACATTGCAACGGATGGGCAAGGAGTGTTTGTATGGGGCCTACAAGCGACACACCTGGGAGAGTTCTCACTCAAGTACAGTTAATACCCATATTTTGGGCCCTAAGCAAGCAGCAAGGCACCCAGATCTAAAGGGTTATAAGGACCATTCAAGCCAATTTTTAAAACATCTTTAAAAGTACAGAACCTGAAGAATCCATGACTGTGGATGAATCCAACATAAATTTATTGTTATCAGAAATCTATTCCATGAATATAACATATCTGTTCAATATTGAGCTTCATAGATGCACAGACAGGGTTGCAGAGGGACTGTAATTTACAAGTTTATATATATACGTATGTATAGTGTGTGTGTGTGTGTGTGTGTGTGTGTGTGTGTGTGTGTGTGTGTGTGTGTGTGTGTGTGTGTGTGTGTGTGTGTGTGTGTGTGTGTGTGTGTGGTGTGTGTGTGTGTTGTGTGTGTGTGTGTATATATATATATATATATATATATATATATATATATATATATATATATATATATATATATATATATATATATATATATATATATATAACAAACTGTACATTTGAATCATTCTCAGACAAAACTAAACCCTACATCTTTGTAAAGGAAAAAAATATTAGTTACCCCACTAGAAGAAAATCTCTCTCTAATTAATTCAACGAATTAGTATTAGGTACTGGAGCACATCAGTTCTGTAAAGTTGTATGGCATATATTTTCATAACCAAATAAGGTAGTATAAACCATTGGACAGCACCTACAACCAATGGTATAGTCCACAGCTTATATTTTATTCCAGAAACATGTGAATAGGATGTGATGGCTGATTTGACTACAAGAAGACTGTGTCATCAGCTGCTATTTGCGTTTCTTGCAAGACATTCTTCATATTACAATGCTCTTTACAAACGAAATTAACAATTTCAAATCAAATCAGAGTTGAAGACACTGGATGGTACCAACATTACGAAGGAATTGAAATATTATTATTAAAATCTATAGTTTTATGTTTTGACACACACTTCAAACTCCTACTGACCAATGTCTAAGCTATAGCATATTATCAGGTAATCTCGATACTAGTTCATGTACCCAAAATTTAAATATCCCAGAAGAATATCAGTAAATACTTCAAAATCAATTATCTTCATTTTCAATATTTTCATATTGGTATGAAAATAATCCTTGGACATTCGCAAACTCATATCTATGAATAATATCATTATCAAAAGCTGAATATATATTTGTAACAAGCAATGCACATGTACCTTACACAAACTGCTAGCATCAGTAATTTACCAACTGGTTCTTATGCCCTTCTACAAAAGAAACAACCATAGGCGAGCTCTAATGGTCATATGGCATAGGATTCATTCATGTATGAATACTATACGCCACCTCCAAATGACCCCTCTGCCCCCTCCTCTTCAGGAACGATCCCCTTAAAGTGGAAAGCAACAGATCTGCACACTAGACCACGTCAAGCCTACCTCTGCAATTCATCTTCCTTGATGAAGCATAGGAGCTTTTCAGACATGAAGGTATAATGCTATATAAAGAATGAGGAAAAGGAGGGTGTGAATGAGGAACAGAGACAGATGCATCTAGAAGAAAGTTACAGAAAGAAAGTAAAGTTAGTAAAGCAAGTGAAGGGGAGGGGGAGTACAATAGACTGAAAAAAATTAGATTAATACAAAACTGGTGGAAACCTCAACACATAATATCAATAATAATATATTAAAATAACTGATATAACGGTGCCCTCCATCAGCATAATCTCATTCTTCATCAAATAAACCTTCATTTGCAATCTAAACATGGGTTAAACCCTAAATAATAGCTTTAAGCAACATCTTCAGGTTGATTTTCTCTTTTTCTTTATTCACTAAATCTTTAAGTCATTACTATGGCTATTTCAGTTCAACATCTAAGTATATTACATATGCTGCATTTCACATTTTTTCTTTAAGCTCTAATCATATAAAAATCTAGAGAGAGAGAGAGAGAGAGAGAGAGAGAGAGAGAGAGAGAGAGAGAGAGAGAGAGAGAGAGAGAGAGAGAGAGAGAGAGAGAGAGAGAGAGAGAGAGAGAGAGAGAGAGAGAGAGAGAGAGAGAGAGAGAGAGAGAGAGAGAGAGAGAGAGAGAGAGAGAGAGAGAGAGAGAGAGAGAGAGAGGAGAGAGAGAGAGAGAGAGAGAGAGAGAGAGAGAGAGAGAGAGAGAGAGAGAGAGAGAGAGAGAGAGAGAGAGAGAGAGAGAGAGAGAGAGAGAGAGAAACAAAATAATCTATACCTATCTACTATTTGTAAATTGCCGCATTCCTTCTCTTTACTCATTGAACTCTTAGTTTGGGGTATGTGCACTGTCCACTGTGTTTTTTCTATTTTCATTCATTTTGTTTACACTTAAATGGCTTCACAAGCACTTTGAAACCACTGAGTCGGTTACTAGGCCTACCTGATTTTACCAGATTTTCTCATTTCTTGACTTTTTGGGGATTTTTTTTTTTTTTTTTTTTTTGCTTGCTAATGTTATCATCACCATTGTTATCATTACTTTATTACCAATAATAATAGTAATAAAAATATAAACCTTTCAGTACAACAGCCTAATAAATGGGGTATACAGGTAGGCCTAGTAACGTGTACATAAAATCAAGGTACCAATGAATTAAAAAGCTAATCTACAATATTATCAAATAAAATTGTAGTCAGAATCTCAAAAACCTAATAAACAAACTAGATCTGGAGATAGATCAAGAAACAGATGTTTTCATTTCTCTTCTATCACTACAAAATAAAATAAAATAAAATTCATTTTCAAGTTATATAGTTCAAACTATTTTTTTTTCTTAATCATATATCTTGAACTGGTATATTTTGCTTAATTGCACAGATTATTTTATCTATTTATTCTATCTTTATTATTATTATTTTTTTTTTTTTTTTTTTTTTTTTGAGAGAGAGAGAGAGAGAGAGAGAGAGAGAGAGAGAGAGAGAGAGAGAGAGAGAGAGAGAGAGAGAGAGAGAGAGAGAGAGAGAGAGAGAGAATTTGAATTGATTTGAAAAAATTAGAGAGATGTGGTAGCCTACATTAAATATCATTTACCTCGGTAGTTGGCTGATGAATAATCACAATAATATCATGAAAACAGTTCCCT